CGTTCATTTATTTTTTAACGCCGTGTCGCTTGACGGAATTCATCCTCGGTTGTTTAATATAAACAACCGAGGATGAATTCGATTCCGTCAAGCAGAACTTGCAGGGATTTTTTTTACCTTTGTAAAAGCAATATTGAAATAATAAAGATTGTTTTGCCTAGTATCTTTAACCTTAAAGAGCGACAGTTGCCGTATTTGCTCGACTAAAAGCCGGTTACTTGTAAGTAGGACCTCAAGAAATGGCAACAAAAATTACCATAGAATATAAGGAATAAACAAATAAAATATGCCTGGGCCAGCCAGGCCAAATTTGAGAGAAAAGCTAACGGGGTTTAAAAGGCTATTAATCGAGAAAATTCAGTAACCTTCTTTAAATGCCCAAATAAATTCTGGTGTTCTTTCAAATAAAACAGGAGTCTGCGCAGTACTGTAGTTGCGTTAATTTCAGCGCGAATGATCTCTACCCTTACGAATGTGGAGTTCGTTTTTGGTGTCTCCTTACACGCGAGTTAACAGAATTTTGGGTGGGGATCATTGGATTTTTAGGTTGACAGAAGGGGAATCAGTCATAACTGAGAGCCCAAAAAGGGGGGACCGGGTCACCAAATTTCATATGCCCATACAGACCTGGTGGACGGCTATTTGGGCACTCTAAAAAGTAACTTTGCAGTTTCCAAACACTTGGGATGGTTAGCTGCTGGTATGTCAACTAACATCAGTCACAGAGTTCTTATTAGAACGGCGTACCACCTGTAAAATCGAATGTAGCCTCCTGTTCCGGTCATTAAAATTTGTACACATATAAAGATAAATTAAGACTTGCAGGCTGTGACACGTAATGGCCAAACCACCCCCCAAATGTTTCATCAGTCCTTGGGTATTTCACATTATTTCGCATTACTTAAAAAGTATTGATTCTTTCTGCACCAAACTTGGCAGATGAGCAGGAAACCTGTTGCCAATTATATTTATGTGAAAAATGTCAGTAAATGTCAAAGTTGTGACGTCACAGTGATGACGTCATGTTTGCTACTTTTGAAGTTTTTAATATGCATATTTTTTACAATGTGTTTGAAAGAGCACATCAAGGGGAGTTGAAACCTTAAAATATTTTGTCCATATCACAAAAATTAAATGAAATATGGCACTTTTAATCATGAAAAATAACTCTGCAAAATATGGGGTCCCCCCCCTTGAGAAATATCCCCAAATTGGAGCCGAAATTTTGTTCCAGCAAATGCAGCTATGTTGCACATGTGATGTGCCAGATGACTAGCAAGAATAAAGAAGAACATCGGAATAAAAAATTATCCCTCCAGTGTTATTGCGTTAAAATTAGTTTTGTTACGTCATAACCTGTGACGTCAACCGTTTTTTTTACTGTTAATACCATCTTAACAAAGCCAAAAATCAAATTTCTAAAACCATACGATTTTTGACAACATCAAGCTTTCGATTTTTCTAGATTATTAGCCTTCCTAGAAAAAAATTGAAAAAAATAAACCAGAGAGACTGACTTAAGAAGGACAGTATGGTTAAGCACATTCCGGGGGAACAGCAAAAAAATATTTAATTTACCATATCTCGAAAAATAATCGTCATAGCAGAAAACGGTTTCCGGCATTTTACTCCTCAAGTCAAGGCCTTTCCAATGACATAATCTTTACATCAGATTTTACAACAAATTATAGCACGTTTTGGTGACGTCATCAATTATGACGTCATAATCTGACATTTTGTCACAACTTCCAAATTAAAATAAACTGGATAACAAAGAAAGCTCATCTGCCAAACTTGGTTCAGAAATATATAAACCAAGCCAATACAGCCTTCATGAAACATTAGGGGGGTGGTTTGGCCCCTACGTGGACGTTTCAAGAAGAAAATAGTATTTTAATTAGAAATGTGAAACAGCGCTACTTGCTACATCTTATTTTATGATCATAAAAAAACTCAAAAAAAGAAAAGAAAAGAAATACTCTGCCCCCATTAACTCTACCCCATGACGTGGTAGGGGGGAACAGAGAACGAGGAGCATTTTGGTCGAATTATTTTAATTTTTTTTTTCTTTAGATAAACATGTTAAAACGCACGTTTTAATTTGTATCCATATCAGATGAATATATCTGGCACTAAAAACTTGATTTAAACGTCAAGAGATATTCGAAATTGTCCGCCTTTAATGCGGGAGGTCTACCTGAATTTAAGTGAAGTTTTAGGAAGTTTTAAGAGAGATTAAAAGGAAAAAAAGGTTATGGAACACCACCAGACAGTTGAACGCCCCCCCCCCCCGGAAAGGGCACACTAGGTTGGTGGACAACTGTTTGGTCTACGTCTACCAATTTTTGACTTCAAATTCTAATATTAAAACAATACTAAATCTTCAAAATTTCCTATTTCCATAAATTTTACTAATCCTTTGAGAAGAACTATTTATCCCCAAAAATCACCAAAAAATTTACAAAACAGCCCAAAACGTAGATATGTGGGATGAGCAGAGAGAGTTTTGACTGCTTGGAACGTGAACGAGATATTTGCGTTAAAACCATAATACCCAGCCGAAATGCGGCCTTCATGTCTCCAAAGATTTAACGTAATTCAAGCTGTAGCTACTGTCAAGCTAAAAGATGTGAAGAAATTCACGAGTTTAACACGTTTGTCGAGATTAGAAATGAAAACAGCAGTTTCATGGCATAAGCGAAAATAAGCTTAGCGCCAAAACGAAGCTATGCCTCGTGCGAGTCAAAAAAAAAAAATGCCTACCACAAGAGAGGCAAAGCGCTTTTCAGTCTTTTTAATTTGTATCCACATCAGATGAATATATCGGGCACTAAAAACTTGATCTAAACGTCAAGAAATGTTCGGAATTGTCCGCTTTTAAAAGGGGGATCTGCTAAATGTTACTATCTTTAGCCGAAAATCTTCCGCCACTCCCAAGGCGATAAATGATGACCGCTCAGGTTTACAGTCGAAAGTCAGTATTTGTATAGAAAGGCTTTTTTCATGGTTAAAGATACTAAACAAAACAGTCTTTATTATTTCATTATTTCTTTTTCAAAGGTATAAAAAATTCCACGCAAGTTACTGCGAGAAATAAAATAGACGCCCCATGCAAAAGAAACCCTGCGTTGCACGTTCGCTCTTGAATGATTTCTTTCCCACGAAATGATTAATTCGCTTTTTTGATCGAAAAATGCGTTTCACGCCCGGATACTGAATTGATTTTCATTGAAATTTAAAATAACAACAATTCGACTTCTCGTTCTTACCATCTCAACCTGAAGGTAAAAGCAGTGGAAAAACTGATGGATCACCATCTCAACTTCAAGATGAAAGCAGTGGAAAAACTAATGGATCACCATCTCAACCTGAAGGTCGAAACAGTGGAAAAACTGATGGATCACCAGGTCAACCTGAACATGAAAGCAGTGGAAAAACGGAGAGATCACCAACTCAACCTGAAGGTAGAAGTAGTGAAAAAACTGATGTATCACACTCTCAACCTGAAAGTGGAAGCAGTGAAAAATTTGATGGATCATCATCTCAACCTCAAGGTGGAAGCAGTGGAAAAACAGATGGATCACTATCTCAACCTCAAGGTGGAAGCAGTGGAAAATCGGATGTATCACAATCTCAACCTAAGGGTGGAAGTAGTGGAAAAACTCATGGATCACCCTCTCAACCTAAAGGTGGAAGCAGTGGAAAAACTGATGAATCACCATCTCAACCTGAAGGTGGAAGCAGTGAAAAATCGGATGTACCACCATCTAAACCTGAAGGTGGAAGTAGTGGAAAAGCTGTTGGATCACCATCTCAACCTGAGGGTGGAAGTAGTGGAAAAACTGATGGATCACCATCTCAACCAGAACGTGGAAGTAGTGATAAACCGGATGAATCACCATTTCAACCTGAAATTGGAAGCAGTGAAAAATGGGATATATCACCATCTCAACCTGAAGGTGGAAGTAGTGGAAAAAGTGATGGATCACCATCTCAACCAGAACGTGGAAGTACTGGAAAAGCGGATGAATCACCATTTCAACTTGAAATTGGAAGCAGTGAAAAATGGGATGTATCACCATCTCAACCTGAGGGTGGAAGTAGTGAAAAAACCGATGGATCACAATCTCAACCAGAACGTGGAAGTAGTGGAAAAGCGGATGAATCACCATTTCAACCTGAAATTGGAAGCAGTGAAAAATGGGATGTATCACCATCTCAACCTGA